TAAGAAGGAGAACAACTGCTTTTGACAACTCAATACATCAACTTATTCTAATGGTTGTTGATATATGTATGATAGAAAATATTTTGATTATTGACAAACAAAAATATCATCAGGCACTACTTTACAAGGTTAAATAATGAAGATTCTACGCGTTGGATTACCGAATACTTTTCATTTTCAACACACCGTTGAAAAGGGTGTAGACTGAGAAATAGAGATCGAAAAACAGAATATTTTGGAGAAAAAAAAAATGGTAACCAAGATCTTTTTTCAAAAACTAAAGTCAATTCGTGAATTCAATCCATCATACAATTACGTTTATAAATCATTGATTATATTAGAACTATGGGGGACGGTCAAATTAACTCTTTACCCTCGGATGTCCAAAGGCGTGGGCTTTAGTGAGAGATTGTAGAATCGCTATAACAAGATGACGATGCGTCGAATCAAAAAACAGATTTTTTTTTCTAACGTCAGCTGACATTATAAGTCAGTCATTGTTTATAAGAAATTTTGTTTTCTTCGACTGTAAACAGAGTTCTGACAGTTTCAAGTTCGTTTTTGCACGATCAGCTGCTGGGGGTAAAGGGATTAAACTAATCGAGGATAGTGACTGCGAAGAGCATATCACCGACAAAAAATTTAAGTTCATTTAGAGTTAAAGAAAAGTGCTTTTTCGTATTCAGCACACTTGATAACCTGAAAAATTTTCTACTTTCGGCGAGGGGTACCGCCAAAAAGTTAAGAAAAATTTTCGTAAGTTTTTGGCAGTACCCGTCGCCGAAAGTAGAAGATTTTTCAGGTTATCAAGTGTGCTGAATACGAAAAAGCACTTTTCTTTAACTCTAAACAAACTTTAATTTTTTTTTGTCGGTGATATGCGTTTTCTTCTGTTCTGTTCTGTTCTTGTCTTAGTCTTAGTGGTTTGCATAAAAAAAAGAAAAATATGTTTATAACACATGTGCATCAAATATATAACACTGAGAAGAAACAAAAAAGATTTATCGTCTTCAGTAAATTGCGGGAGGAATAAGACACATGTATTTCTTTCCTTGTTACTTATTTATTAGAAATATGATTTATTGAAAACAAAGCAAGTAGCACAGCAAATTCAACTCTCTATCTAAATAGATCTCATTTTCCGCTAGTATAATAAAGTGCCTTATATAACAGGCACTGTTTTTCGTCTCGTTTGAAATGAGAAAAAAACGTTGGTATCGTCCATCATACACGTGGCGAGAGTATACATATATTATATACGTTTATATCACGTGGATAAGCACGTGGAGCAATCTATCCTTTTCTAACATTTTTCTTCATACGAAGAAACGTGCTTCTTACAAACATATATTATATATACTCTCGCGCCACGTGTATGATTGACGATACCAACGTTTTTTTCTCATTTCAAACGAGACGAAAAACAGTGTCTGTTATATAATGCACTTTATTTCTTAAAGTAGACTACTTTTATACTCGAACTTTTTGCAGTTTATATCTGCTTTTTGAACATTTTTAAAGTAGAACTAAATCATTAAAATAATCAATTTACACAGTAAGTACACAGCACTTGCAGTGAGTGAGAGAATAGGGATATAGAAAATCCTTTCTATTTTACTGTCACACAGTTGCTGTCTTTCTGCATTCATTTTGGGTATCAAAAATGGTTCTTCTTTCTCAAGAAAAACACCACATATAGGGGCTTTCTCAGTGTATAGACTCAGTTAATGTTTGATGTGTAAAGATCTCAAAATAAGTCTGCACAGAAGTGAGAAATGCATGAAAGGTCAATGTTATAACAATTATGAGTATCCTCGGTGTAATATCGCTTTGCTGTTAGTGACTCTCAGGATGTAGCGATGATCAGTTCGGTTCTGTTTGACGCATGGAGGATTGAGGCTCAGCCATTCCGCCTCATTCGCAGAATATTAGATTCTAATATCGAACTGATCCTAGCGGTAATATCTACGGATATACATTCTCTGAAAGACCAGGCGTGAACGTTTTCTTCACATATGGCAAACGTTACCTTACGGTAAAACTCCCAAGCGAACTGTAAAACATTTAACCGCTCTCACTTTATTCTGAGATCAAATGTCACTTATATCGCAAACCATAATTGAGAAATACATGAGAAAAACCTATTAATATGATTCTTATGACAAGCAGAAAGGATTTAGACAAAGAGAGGGCGTCTTAATAAAACTACTGTGTATAAGTTTTGATCTCAACTTCAAAGTGAGTCTGAGGTGAAGGATTGACCCTGATTGAATTATGTTCCCGAAGAAAAAACCGGGTAAAATATGGTGAAATCAGCTTCTCAGCTATCTCAAGAAATATTCCTTTTGATTTTCCCTTTTCAGATAGAGATTATAACATGACAAAAGCATTATCTGCTCGACGAACGCGTTAAAATTTGATTGCACTATGTTCTCGAATAAAAGTCCGAGTAAAACATAGTGGAATCAATCGTAGACAACGAAACAGTGACTGAAAAAATGTGGAACTGGTAACATTATTGGACACCATCAAGATGATCGCCCGGATGGATGGTCAAAGAGGTTCAAAACAAAAAAATGACTGGACGCCATTGCTCTGCGCAAAGTGGCACTTTGCGGACTTCAGTCATACCCGCAGACAGAGCGTTGTGTTTCGCTACCGGACATGATGTTTAAGGTGGGCGTCGGGACGGTCATCTTGATGGTGTCCGATACTGTTGATTTAAAATACTTAAAATGGACCCCACTTTTTAGCCGTCTTTTGTTTAACTGGGAATAAATGTTATTGTTGTTCTATTTCTGTTTTGGCAAGGAAAGAAATAAAAAGAACTCTTTGCAGAGCCAGACTGTTTTTTTTATATACCTCTCTGTAAAGGAAGGAAAGATAAGGGTGGTTTGCATAAAAAAAAGAAAAATATTTTTATAACACATGTGCATCAAATATATAACACTGAGAAGAAACAAAAAAGATTTATCGTCTTCAGTAAATTGCGGGAGGAACAAAACACATGTATTTCTTTCCTTGTTACTTATTTATTAGAAATATGATTTAATGAAAACAAAGCAAGTACAAGTTACGTCGATCTCGCTTATTCTCCAGTACAAAAAAAGGTTCTTACATGTTACTAGTTTCCTGTTCGCAGTCTTTTAGCAGAGGAGAAGTGACATAACACAGCGGGGAATTTTGGCTAGGCACGTGGACATGTGCTAGAAAAGCGGTATGAAAGTCTCTAAACATTGTTTTTATAGGTTTCGTATACGCTCTTTTCAACGACGCAATCGTCAAGCTTTCAAAGTAGGGCAAATCCGTGTTGTTTCCCACTGTGCATAAGAAGGTTTTACATAAGTACTACAGGACAGCTGGTCTCCAGAGCCAGCGGCAGAGTTCCTTCTGGTCTAAAAAAAGAAAATTGGTCAGAGGACTCCAGTCGTAAGATCCTCAGCGATGGTTCGTAGCTTAGCCGTCCTGACTGTCTGTGTCTCAAAAAATGTCGTCGCAGAGATATACACTTCTTCACGTTTTTCTTTTTCTCTCGTCGATTATTATTCACACTTTGATATCAATATTTTTTGTACTTGTTACCTAGAGACAAAAATCGATATGATTTTTCATCATGTTTTCAACTATGTTTCTGCTTCACAGCCATTAAAATAATAATAAATCAAATCATTCTCCTCGTCAACTCTGTACAGATAAGACGTACTGTTATAGGCATATATATATACATCTACTGTGTATACATATAGTAAATTTATATTTTCTATCGTCTACTTTTTACGAGGCACGTTTTTTAACGCGTGTCCTCACGTTTTTGTTGATAAATGTTGGGTCTTCGACAGCCCGTAACATGGGAAATGGTGGGTAATGCTCTTAATCTGGTCTATGGAAATGATTCAATGATGTTTTATAATAATAATGCACATAATGTAGATCAGAGTGGTGCTTCTTTTTTAAGTGGTTCACCACCGTTTTTGGCGTACCCTCAATTTCATCAAAAACAGTTTCTTACTTCAAATCATTATAATCTGGGTTATCACAATCAACCCATGTCTAATGTTAATCACCTACAAGCACATGCTTTGCACCGTCCCTGGATGCAGCAATCAACTCAACAACCACATGCTGCAGTAACAAATCAATCAAGTCAGGGTATGCAAACATGTATGAAACTTCAGCAAGTAAATGCCACGTCTGATATTGAAGATAACGGAAGGAAGTATTCAGATGATGATATGAGCGAAGATGGAATGTCGGGGGAGCGTACTATTAAGAGACAGAAAAAATCCGCACAGATGGCTTCAGGAATAAATGGGGTTACCTTTCCGGTGTCGACAGCTTCTAACCTACCTAGGCCGGATATAGAACGATCGGCATTAAAAGTTAATACGAGTATTCAATACAGTCAAGACAGAGATGATATTATATCTAGCAATGCTGTTCGTTATGCTGAGACAAGATATGCGTTTCCCCCATTTATAGTAGTACTAGATGGGCATCCTCAAGTTGATAAAATTAAAGATGAATTATGTCTACATTTTGCGGATAAGCATAACTTTAAACTGGAGTTTGAAGGTATTAAAACTAATTATCGTCGAGAAATGATATTTTTTGTTAAAAATCGTGAATCATTCATCTGCTTGTTCGATGCAGAAAAATGGCCGGTGACTCTTGGTGGCCTTAATTTTAAGAAAACGTTACCTCGTCGGCTTCCTCCACAATGTTCGCTAGTGTTACATGATGTCTCATTAAGCAAAAATATTGACGAATTGTTAAATGAGATGCAATTGGCTTATCCTGATATTGACAATGCTTTTCGAATTAATAATAAAGAGAAAAAGCCAACAAAGTTAGTACGCATTGATATTAGGAGTGTTAAAACTCTTAATGATCTGGTACAAGCTCGATGTATGTATATAGATTATGTGAGATACCGGGTTAGCGAGTATATAGCACCAGTAAAAGTATTGCTATGTTCTAAATGCTTTGGGATTGGACACTTCAAAAGAGAATGTAAACAGGATTTACCTGTGTGTAAAGTGTGTGGATTAGCTTTTCAAGATTTAGAATTACATCGGGGGAATGGTGGATGCTCGGGAGTTAGTAAATGTGTCAGATATCAAGGTTCCCATGCTTCAAATGATGGTAGATGCCCTTCAATTATAACGTATCGTGCAGCGTTAACCAAAACTATGCTGCCAGTTTTTAAATCGAATAAGCAAATGAATCAGTTGAATCAGTTTAATCAAAATGATAACGATTTTCCAAAATTGGGATCGAGTAGCAATGCACTTAACGTATGGAATCAAACAGCACATAATGATAACTTAAACAGTCTGGCACAAAAAGTAAATAGCATGGAAATTTTGATAGTTAAAATTGCTGATATGCAACAACAAATTAGTGAGCAACAAGTTCTTATTCAGGAACAACAACAGATGATCCTCCAGCAGCAGAGTGATCAACAAAAATGTGTTACATTTTGCAATAGTGAAATAATGAAAATAAATAAAAAGCTGGCTATCAACGAGATTAATGTAAATTTCCACCAAAATTATATATTTAATCTTATGGAACCTATGTTTCTACAATTTGTGGAATTAGCAAAGGCACTACAACAAAAGAATATAATAAAAGATAATGGGGTTTGGGATAAAATTAAGCAATTAAGTGATCACCATACGAATTTGCAAGATCAATATATGATATGTAATGAACAACGATCCAAGCTACTAAAGACACTATCGAATGATGATCAAATGCTTATACAATGACGTTATCTCCTTTTGCGCTTGCCTTTTCCCCTGGTGTATATCAGTCTAAGCGAAGGTTCGATATGTATCTGGCGCTCTCACTTACTGAGTCCTTTTTATCAAAAAA